TTTTGGGATTGCCGCTGTTCTAGCTTTACACCAATTAAGTAATACAAGGACACAAGAAACAGATGCAGGAGCAGACCATAAACGCTAAAATAAAGCAAAGAACTGAGGATGCTGGAGATCTGAGACAAGCACAAATAGAAATTACTGGAGAAACTCAGCAGGTCTGGCAGCATCTATGGAGAGAGATATCTAGTTAATGTTTCAAGTCCAACGTCTGAAGAAGTTCTGAAGGGTCACTGGACTCAAAATGTTAACTCTTTCTCTCTCCACAGATGCTGCCAGGCCATAAACCTTGTTGAGCTTGCTCCATCATTAATATGATCATGACTATCAAGACCTTTCAGAATTGTGCACATTTCAATGAGATTGTTTCTCATTCTTCTAGATCCCACAGAACACAGACGCAATTTGCATTGCCTCATCATTGGGCAAACACCACACTCTGGGGACAAATTTATTGAATCTTCACTGTATTACCTCCAGTGCAAGTATATCTTTGCTTAAGCGAGGAGACCAAAATTGTATAAGGTTTTACTGAGACCACATCTGGAATACTACGTGTAATTGTAGCAAGATTTTCTTATTCCTGATACTCAGATCTTTCCTTTTGATCCAAAATGGACAACCTCACAATTAAATGCAATGAAATACATCAGTAACAACCTAGTTTTACCCACTAAAATAATCAATCTCAATGCAATTTTGTGCTCCCACTTTACCAAACATGATTAACAGCAAAGCTAGATGCATAGCTCTTCATTATGACCAATGCAAAAACAATATATACATGTGCACAACTCTTGTTGTCAAACAGATTGTGCACAGTCTGCATTGAAACCCATCAAGTGTGATGGATTTGTTCACAGAATCATAGAAACATACAGCAGAAAAGGATGCTATTTGACTAACAAGATCTCTATGGATTCTTTGAAAAGAGCAGTTGTGTGTAGTCAGGCATCCCCACTTTGGCCCGTAACCCTCTAAACTTACTAATTCTCAGATAATCGTTCATCTTCCTTTTAAAATGATTTAAGAAATTACTTCCATCCCCTTTCACCAAATCAATTGTTATAATCCACTTGACCATTCTGCACGTTAGCTGTGGCACATCTTTTAAAAATACTGTTTTTCTTCAAAAACACTTCAGGCAATTTCTAAAGCAAATTTCTTCATCAGGCTATTGTAAATTTTCACTTGATCTCCCCTTTCAGAAGTTAACAATTACAATGAGCAGATTACCAGAAATTATGGGAACCCCCTGGATGTCTTCAGTCACTCAATTAGATCAACTATAGTACCATCACAGTTTACAACCTTGAAGACGTTATTAGAATTAATATATATTGACAATTTAAAGAGCTCAAAGCAGCAGGGGAACCAGAATTAGCACCATGGCAGTACAATAACAAAATAAAAAAATTCCATTAGATTAGCTTTCTCAATGTTCTGCTACAGGGTAAGAAAATAAATTTTAAACAGTTACTTTTTCCTGGCAGATTAATAGCAATATGCGCTAGACAAAGTCTTTTACTCTTAAACCCTCTTGCAGACTGCTTCACTGATGTTCAATACCTTCCTTTTCATTTGGTAAAAGTGATGAACAATGTAGACTTGAAATAAAAAATTCAAGGCAGAATCTTAAAACTTGAAACAATCAACTTCCAACAATGTGGCCAATGACGATCAACTCTTGCGCATTGTAACTACCAACTAGAGTTGCTGCTTTTCCATCTGACTGCTGCTACATTAAGTAGTAGTTTTCCCACAAATCAGTATCAGTAACAATGAAACCATATTTTTTCTCTAAACCAACACTTGATTCTATTAACTAACTCCTTGCTTCCAATTGTAGCCTGGTCCTATTCAGCCTCAAAAGTCTTGCTCAACTTTGAGTCAAGCTATTGACCTCACATCACATTTGATAACAAGATCTTCTATCTTATTCGCCACTTATGCTTCTAGCTCATTCCTCTGCCAGTGAAAGTTTTACTGATCTTTAGTAATCAGAGATTGACTCTTAATATATTTTCTTTTCGACACTGCCCAGCTCTCAAATATTACCAAGTGTAGAATTCAGGCATCAAATTTTGTACTGTGCATCCACTATCTTTGCTCAGCTTCACTGATTCCTTGTGCCTCAAGAAACTTCAAGATGTATTTTGAAATCTATAAAATGTATCTTGTGCTTCCCCAGACATAATACACCCGTTTCTCCAACTCCAGATTATTTTTCATTAATGACACCCGTACCTAGTTTTTCACATCAACTTATGAAGGGTTAATCACTTAATCAGGAGAGACGATGGCGTCGTGATAATAGGCTCGCAATCCAGAGGCCCAGGCTAATGCCTCCGGAGCCTGGATTCAAGTTCCAGCATTGAATTTAAGTTCTACCGGCTACAATCAATAAATTCAACTTGATTTCTGTCATTGAAAGTGAGAAAAATCTGGAATTAAAAGTTAATTTCACGGTTACCATTACTGGAACAATCATTATTTGTCATAAAAACTGATCTAGCTCACTAACATTCTTTAGTATTCTGACCTGGTCTGTCCCTTATGTGACTCGAGACTCAACATTAACTGCCCTCTAGCACTATTGAGGATGGACAAGAAAAGCTGTACTGGCCTTGCTTGTGACACTCACATTCCATGCAGAGATTAAAGCATTTTCCCTTCCTTTTGGATTTTCTTCCAAAACTATTTTGTCCATTTAATCTCTCGCCTTCAAAACCTAAGAAAAAACTTTAATCCCTTCCTTTAATTTTTGTTTAGCCATCTCTGCCTCACTTAAAAAAGATGCTAAAGGGAATTGACAAAGTAAACATAGAAAGGATGTTTCCTTTTGTTGGGCAATCTATAATGAGAGGTCATAATTTTAGGATTAGGTGTAGCAGATTTAAAACAGACATGCGGAGAAATTCCTTTTCTGAAAGAGAGTTGTGATCTGTTGAACTCATTACCCCAGAGTATGGTTGGTGCAAGGACAGACTGGATTTGACTTATTATTGTCACAGGTACCGAGATACAGTGAAAAATATTTCTTTGTATGCTATCCAGACAAATCATACCTTATATAATTATATCAGGGTAAAAGAACAGAATGCAGTGTATAGTGTTACAGTTACAGAGAAGACGCAGAGAAAGATCAACTCTGTACTCTCAGGAGTTTACAAGAATGATAGGGGATATAATTGAAACTTGCAAAATTCTTATTAGGATTGGGTGGCATGGTGTCTCAGTGGTTAGCACTGCTTCCGCACAATGCTAGGGACCCAGGTTCAATTCCACCCTCAGGCGACCGTGTGCACGGAGTTTGTACATTCTCCGTGTCTGCGTGGGTTTCCTCCAGGTGCTCCGGTTTCCTCCCACAGTCCAAAGATGTGCAGGTTAGGTGAATTGGCCATGCTAAATTGCCCGTAGTGTTCAGCGATGGGTCTGGGTAGGATGCGCTGAGGTTCGGTGTGGATTTGTTGGGCCGAAGGACCTGTTTCCACACTGTAGGGATTCCATGATGATAATATACGAGAGGTCCATTCACAAGCCTGGTAAGATGGGGAAGAAGCTGTCCTTCAATTTGGTACATGTTTTCAAACTTTTGTATCTTTTACCCAATGGAAGAAGGTGGAAGAATATATAAGCAGGGTGGGGGAAGTCTTTGATTATGTTGGCTTCTTTCCCGTAGCAATGGGAAGTATAGACAGAGTAAATTTGAGGAGATAGACAGATTTTTTAATTAGGAACACATTGAAGGGTTACAGGAAACGGGCAGAAAGTGGAGTTGAAGCTGAAATGAAATCAGCAATGATTGCATTGAATGGTGGAATAGGTTGAGGGACCGAAATACCTACTCCTGCTCCTAATTCTCATGTTATGTAAACTATTCCAATAAAATATTCCAATGTAAACATTATATGAACTACAAAAACTAATACTAACCTTTGTGTTTTAATTCTGACTGTCCATTCACTCAAATAAACAGCAACATCTCCTCTCAGGTAAAAAAGCTTCCAATATAAAACTAAATGGTTTCAGTTTTCCACATGTACCTATTTCTAGGTAACTTAAATTGGTCTGTGGTATGCTGAGAAGCAAGTCACTGTTTTATAAAGTTTAATTAATGTGTAGTCTGAGAAATAACACAAGAGAGAGATTTCAGAGCCTCAAAAGAAAAGGTAGGAGACAGCAGATGCCAAGCACATACTTGCATTAGATATGCTCTGTATAGAGGACAAACAACAGGCATTCCTCAAAGGGTTTATCATTGCCTGAGAAACTGGGTCAGATGCACACAGCTACAATTCCTTCAAGCCATCAACACTTAAAACGGTGTCATTGGCAACATAGTTAATAATAATATAAATGAATAGGCCTTTTAGAAGACAATGTAGACAGTTTAGCTCTGATGTAAACTCAATTCTCAAAAGATTGTTTTGTGAGGTGTGTGTGTGTGTGTGTGTGGGTGGGGGGGGGGGGGGGGCGAAGAGGACAGAGGAGCGAAGAAGGGTATAGGAAAAAAAAAGTTAATTTCATATTCAAGTAAAATCAACACAACCATTCTCTTGTTTGTTTATGTGACAGAGTGGTAAATGCTGAAAGTATATATGGTCGCATGTGAATACCTGGCCTGAGCTCTATAGCCTGACGGAACACAGTGAAGACCCTCAGCTCAATGGAGTGAGCTCTCACCAGGTCATCATAGTGCAAGGGGAACACTGACTGTCGTTTTCATTGGGAGGACCGTTTAAAGTAAAATCAAACATCAGCAGGTTGATGCCAACCGAATTACCGTCCCTTGACAAATGCTTCCTAAACACACGGACCCACTTCTTTCACAACACTCACAAATTGTGAAACTTTTCAATAAGAAATAAGGCTGGTGGCTGTCTGAACGTCAATGCTTTCCAGCCACGAAAGTGCGCAGAACGCCGGCCGCGACTTGAACAGGCACAGCTGCTTCGATCTCTAAACACCGTGTCAATGCTGAAACGTTATTCATCTCAATACTCACAACCCAACCTCATCTCAGATTCCCAATCCAGAGAAAGGAGCCAGGAACACGGCTCATTGACACTCAGTCCACCGGGGGGCTCATGAACGAAACTGCAACCTGCGCCTGCGCACCGCTCCCGGCCGCCCGAAACCGCGTCTGCGCACTGCTGCCGGCCGGCCGCCCGGAACCGCGTCTCCGCACTGCTCCCGGCCGCCCGGAACCGCGTCTGCGCACTGCTCCCGGCCGCCCGGAACCGCGTCTCCGCACTGCTGCCGGCCGCCCGGAACCGCGTCTGCGCACTGCTCCCGGCCGCCCGGAACCGCGTCT